TATGTTTTTATTATATGATGAATTTTTAAGTCTTTTATTTTACGTGCAATAAGCATAAATTTTTAATTTATTACAAATCTAATATTATGATTCAGATTCTTAATCTGATATTACAAGAAAAATTATTTACACTGAATTTTTTTTCAATAAATATTTAAAAATTTAAAAATATAATTTAAATAAATACTATAATTATATAAAATAAATATATAAAATTTATTTATAATAAGAATGAAATAAAAGAAAAAATATTTTTATTGATATTAAGAATTATTTAAAAAAATAAAAATAATAATTACATATTAAGGAATATTAAAAATATAAAAAATATTTATTCAAAGCAAATAATTTATTTAAAACTGTAATAATGTGTACTGTAATATGTAGTACATTATATATTTTAGATACATATTTTTTTATAATTTTTTATAAAAGATATAAAAAAAATTAAGAAATCACCACAAAATAGAAAATTTTTTAAATAAATTAATATTATGGTTGAATAAAAATATTAATGAACTCACCTTATCTTTTAAAGAAACGTTCTCCAAATGTTTACGAATATTTTCTTTAGTGGAAATTTGAAGTGGCATTATAATAATCAATAATTATGATAGAAAAAGTACATAAAATAAAATAAAATAAAAGTAAAATAAAGTAGAGTTACAATAAAATGTATCTAAACTTTACTGTAATCTATGAAAAGCAGAGACTCAAGTGCTAAAATGTAATACCAGACAGAAATATTCTTCATTGATACCATTTCCGTCTGTTTCGCGCCAAATTATAACTAACCAATTAATGTGTTACTTTTTACCGCCAAAATCCATTTGCATCTATAATATCAAAACAAGCATAAATTTATGAATAATAATTTTTAAAAAATTTTTTAAAATAATCTTCTCAATCTTTTCAATGATAATAAATATAACAAATATAATACATTGTCATTGATTTTTCCCGCTTATTTCTGAGATTATAATTTTTGGAAAGAATCACTATTACAAACTTAAGATATGATTTTCATTGAACAAACAACGTAAAAATTCCATTACTTATTCGTTATCTAATTTAATATTAATTGATTGAATATTTCTAGACAATTCTTATTATCATTTTCTTAATTTTAAATATTATTTAATAATTAAATATAAATATAAATTAATTTTTACTTAATAAGATTTTTTATTAAATTATTTTATAAAAAGTAATTGAAAAATATTTGAACGAATAATAAAACTAAATTATATAAAAATAAAAATTTGTTTAATGAATATACATATATATTTATTGAAATTGAATACAATTGAATACAATTGAATTTAAATTAAAAAAGGAATTTCTAGTTTTTAAGATATTATGTTTTTAATTATGTAAATAAAAAATTTACAATATATATATATATATATTAAAATTTTCGATGATATATTTTAAAATAAATAATCATAAACATTATTGAAATTGTATTGATATTATAAAATTTTGAATACTTATAAAAAACATTTTATTTGCTTGTAGAATTAATTAAATATTATTGTTATAAAATATGTAATATATTATAAGAGATAAATGCTTATGATGCCAATAAAATGTCAAATTTATAAGAGCGCCATTTTATGTTATCATAAAAGATTTGATTAATTCTATATT